ATATCAAACAATTACTCTTTTCTTTGCCAAGTTTTAAAATTTTAGCTTTTTTGTGTAATTTTAAACTTTTGAGAGTATTTTTTCTAATTTTTAAAACTTTTTCCTTTTTTTGTAGCACTCATGTAATATACTGATACCACAGAGCTGTTTCATATATTTTATTAATCTTATTTAAATTATTGAGCTATATATAGTTCATGGGGTATTATGATAAGATATAACTATGATTAAATAGATTATAATTTAAATTAAATATTTAAAATAGTACATGGTAATTTTGACTATGGAAAGCTTTTGTCGAACTCGTGCTTTTAAAGGGAGTATGATTTTTGTTTTCCTTAATTTTTCTTTTTTATAATTTTGAGAATGATTTTTGTCTCTTTAATTTGTTTAGTGGATTTTGTAAATATCTCATCCACATTATGTACATTTGTAGGTCTGCGTTATTCTTGGGTTCGACCGGTAGACATTATTTATCTCATTAATTTATTTAGTTTTTACATATACGCCCTTCATTTTGTAAACATTTATAAATTTAGCATTTAATAATTTTATTTAGATTTACATTTCAATTTAAATTGTATCATTATCTTCATACTATGTATATCTAATAAAAATTCATCAATTTATCAACTTACTCTTACTTAATGAATTAATATTTGAATTCCAATAGTATTTTTATCTACTAAAAGATTTTCTCGAACTCGTGCTTTAAAGAGAGTATGATATGAAGTGATGTTCAATAAAGTAGTTTGTTGGCCATTTGTTTTCTACTGGAAAAAAAACTCTACTTCTGTTGGAGAAAGAAAACTTTATGAAGAAATAATAGTGATGAATAAAAGAATTAATTCACTAATTTAAGGTTTAATTGCACATAGATCTCATGCAGTGTCACTTTGCGTCACCATCTGCCTTTTTCATATAACCTAGTACATGGACCGAGTGAATTTTCTATTTAGAAATTATTTTGTTAGATCATGCACTGTGATGGTCATTTGCTTGGAGATATGATCTAATTTAGATGTTTCTTAAATTTGTGTTTAACCTATAATTAGTAAATGATAGCTTTGTTATAACATGTTATTATGCATGACAATGACATATGAGATGTGATGGTTAATCTCAGCCATCGGGAATGAAGATTCCCTGGGTGTATGTCATAAGCGCATATTTGATATGTGTAGCACAAGACCTTATTTGGATTATCTAGGACGAGTCACCTAAGAGATAGAGAATTTGAATTGTTACATTGTCCCTTAGACTTGATGATATCATCATTTTTAATTTAATAATTTAGTATACTTTGATATGATGGTTAAACTTATTTTACAAGTGTTATACAACCTGAATGTTGGGTTACTAGATTTCATTTTGGAAAATATATGATGGGTATGTAGATAGGATCCAGTATACTCATTTTTATGAGTTAATTTATAATGCATATTCCATGAAGATATTAAACTCTCGTCGACGGGTGATTTTTTGAAAATTATTTTTCTAAATTTATTTTTGTATAAAATAAAATTTTTTTGATGTTTCAAAATGATTTTTATTTATGTTCATGGGATTGTAATTTTAGGAATAAGCAAATAAGTGATTTTTCCTGCTCAATAAAATTACCTAAAATAAATTGATACTGGAAGTGACTGAATGTAAGATAATATTATTCACAAATATTTAATCTCATATTATGAAAGAGTTTTTATGAACAATTGGTCGGATAGGGATTTGATTGTTAAATTAAAATTATTAATTTGATTAATAATTGGTTCTTGATATGGGACCCAATTGGTCTCACTAATGTCATTGGAAGAGGTTTACATGTAATACAATTCTATTTCTAATCTAATTGTTATGGAAAAAATATTTTATCTTTAAATGTTATGGATAGAGTTTTAAACAATTAAGAATTGTTTTGAAATTGAAATCTATAAGGCAGGTCCAATCCTATATATATGACTCATATGTAGCCTTATGAAGATGAGAAAAAGAAAGAAAAGAAAAAGGAAATAGAATTTGAGAACCTATATCTCAGTATTGCTCCTCTTCGGTGACGGGTGGATTTCAATTAGAGGTTTTTTCTCTTGAAAATACTATTTCCTATTGATCTTGGGATAGATTAATATCGAAGAAATTTGGAAAGCGTTTCATGTATTCTTCTAGATTTTAACTAATTTTGATTAATCGACATGATGTACAATTTCCGCTGTGTTGTATGTTATGTTTCCAACAACCAAAGCAAAAGATATTTTCATAGTTGAGACATCTCTTTCCATTTTGTTAGACAATTAATATATACAACACTCCTTTATATGGTGATTGGTGTATTCCTGATATATTTCATGGTGATTAAAGCCAAGCTTTTGGAGGTAAAAAGTGCTTTATTAGATGGTGACAAACAAAAGTATTGCTAACTTTTTACATGCATAATCAGCCTTCATTCATCCGTTATATGAGTTAATGCCCCCACTTTGTTACACCACCAAGTATTGAAGCATCTTGTAATTAATATGAGAGAGCCTGCCTCTTAGGATAGCTTCAAGGGTGGCATTCCCCAAACAACCTCCAAATCAGTTTTCTCTAAAAATCCAAAAAATCTCTTAAAAACTCACATGAATCACTTTGTTAATGTTTAGGTCCAGTAAGGATGCAAGTCACATACCTTAGACGTTTATTTTTTAACTTATTTTTGAGATTTTTAGTGAAACTTGATTAGGGGGTAGTTAATTAGAACAAAAACTCACTTTAAAGATGATTTATGTATAAATTGAAAATAAAAAGTAGTTTATTTATAATGACCATATTTTTAGGATAAGCTTCCAGGGAGGAAAAAAAACCAAACTCTTAACTACCCCAAAAACTATGATTGGTTAAAAACGACAATTATGCTTAAAAGATTAATCAAAACATAATCAAATCCCTTTGTAACAGCAGTCACATCTAAGATACAGGGAACTAGAGAATGTCATTACATGTTACTAGTCTGCGCCCCGTGCGAAGCACGGCCTTCTCTTTTTTATCACTACAGTAATCCTATTTTTCAATTGCTACAATATTTTTAAACGCTACAGAAATATATTTTTTAAATAGCACAGTAACATTTTTACAGTATCCCGCCTATGTTACAGTAATAATGATACAACAAATTACTGTAACATTACTACATTATGAATAGTGATTCTTGGGTCATCCCATTATTAGAGAGGAATAGATTATACTACTCAAGAGATGCAAATTAATGCTCCACTAAAGGAAATGGATCCCTGCTAGCAATCGTTGAAGGTACACAAAATCTAGTGCAAACTAGGAAAATGAGTGCGCCTACCGTCGTCACAAAAGCCATGTCCACTGTGAATAATCAAATGTCGTCAGTTCAATGCTCTCCGCACAATAAAAGGGCCTAATGGAATTATGAGTCACCTCCATTGAATGCTAACCTTTAAAATAAATAAACAAATAAATTTGTAAACATGAGCAATTGGCTTGGTTACTATTAAACAATTGTTAGTTTTTATGATTAGACATCAACCAACCAAGGTATTCATACCCTTTATGCTCCCTTCTTCACTAGTGCACTTCGCAAGTGTGGGATCAGGGAAATCTCTGGCTTCAAATGTATCCAAAAAATAATAATCAAGCCAATAGTCCTATAGATAACAACTCTACACTTTTAATGGATGAATATTGGATAAAAAACATTCAAACTTGAGTTTCTAACAAGCGCACTCTATATCATGAATCCGCATTCATCATCTTATAGCTTAGCTCTCTAAGTAGCCAAAGCATGAAATAGCTGAAACTTTGAGTTTCTAACTATTCGCATTCATCACCCAGAATTTCTTTGTTTTTTTCCTTTTTTCATTGAGACAATGGACAAATAATCCACCGTGTTCCGTTAATAAGAGCTTAACAAAAGATGCGTACACAAAATAAATCTCCTCTTGCACACAAGCATATGAACCGCTAGCAAAATATATTTTGTGTTCGCGGTATTTCAATAAATCAGAAATCATAATGTCATTAATAGCACTCGCGTTTGAATGATTGAATCTCAGGTCTCTTGCACAAAATTGTTAAAGAGTATAAAGTTACAACCCTCAACCCTCACCGCGATTTCTGAGTCTTTGTGTAATTGTAGGGTCCTTTAAAATTGTATCAGAGCGAACCAGGTTCAACTCCCGCCGACCGCAACTTTAAAGCGGATTTCAAAAACAGACGTCGCGTGGCAGGGTCCTTTGACCAATACAGCAAGCAGGCTCTGCCTTCGAGACACATCGATATCATTAACATAGTTAGCATATAACGCTCGTTATCACTTTCAGCGCGTCTCGACATACCAAGTTCTTCCGTGTGGCATCACAGATTTAGACATAAGCCGAAGGAGGAAAGTGAGCCTCGATTTGTTGGAGATCACAGGATCTTGGAAAGTGTTAGAAAGCCAAAGTGGGAGCAGAGACGACTGACAAAGGAGCCAAAAATAAATTAAAAAATTAAAAAAAAAGTTGTAAAAGCAGTAGCCACCATGATTATGGTTCAGTCCTAAACCTAAAGGCAGGGGCATATTCCCATACCAACTGTAGCATATCCTCCCTCTAGAAAGCAACGTGAACACTTTTTGCACCACAGTTGACCTACGAAAGTGAAGCGTATGAACCTTTTAGTGCTTTTGCCATCATCAATCACCAACAACTTCGTCATTTGCCCTCACGAAATACTACTGAAAATTCAAGAAAAGCACAGTATGCTCTCTCACTCAATGCCACAGTTGCAGTTCAGTAGAGCAGTTCCATGTATAAGCTCCACCATCCAAATCCAAACAAAACAAAACAAGACTACAGATCTAGAGAAAAGAGAGGAATGGATACATCCTGAGGATGATCTCACCACATTATTCAGTATGTAAACTCTATGACACATTGACATTTCACACAACCTCGTAACTGTCATGATGCACTGAAGAATAAGTTGATGCAACGAGGAACTGATAATAGATAAGAATATGATTTTAAACACCCGCAGTGATTTGTGTAGCATTCAAATAAGAGGATCTTCACACAAACAGGTCTAAAGCAATATTTAGCCACTGGCTATCAAGTTGATACTTTCAATACCTGTTTTGTCCTATCTTAAACCCAAAAGGCCAGTTCAGAAAAACAATACGGTTGCATCTTCATTGCTATGGAAAAGCTTGACAATAAGCATCAATACAAATCGAGCAAAATTATTGGTCGCCGGGCAAACTTGCCTTCGAATGTCACACGGAATACAAAAATAACTCAGTTTGGCTTCTTCAAATGGTGGTTCAAGACCTTATATTTGTGATTTCCACTTCGCCATGTACTTTCGAATCCTTCTAGTACATTTCTGACTAACCTTCAGTATTCAAGGATCACAGCGCTTAAAGCCTTGCTGATACATCCAAATTGAAACATCTCTTTTCACTGAGCACAGATGATATATCCTAAGCAGCAATTGCTACATCCTCAGATTTCTCGACTCCTTGGATGTCAGTGATCCTCAGTTTGGTTAATTCCTGGAAAAAAAAGAAGTGTGTGAACCAGTTGCCAGAAGAGAGGGCAACAAGCTAATTGTCTGAATAGCAAACATAACAGTAATCTTACCTGTCGATGACCCTTAGTTCTGCGATAATTCTTTCGTCTCTTTTTCTTGAATATGATTACCTTTGCATCTAAAGCCTGAAAACAAAGAGGTGAAATAGCTGTAACAAGGGTAAGATTATAAGAAATATCAAAATAAACCAGTCCTATCGAGGATCACTTACATGATAATAAAGTATAAAACATGCTTAAAAGACGTGCAATAACAAGTCAAATATATAACAGAACAATAATAGAGCTAGTCTCATCATCAATATTAGCTACACTCTTCTGTTCCAAGACAACAGTGTATCAAATAAGGAAAGACTGGATGACATTCACATTGCAGTTAAGCCAGACGAATAAGAAATCACGCATCAAGGAAAACAGTACTTAGATGTAGTATATGCACTTTTTGTTGATTCTTAATGTTTAGTTTTCCACATCACACAATATATGCAGCTAAATATTATTCCTCAGTTGCTCAGGGAGCGCAAAGAAGAAAACAATTTGTGATGTTATAGTTACTCCTCTTTGAGCCCCTAAAAAAATTCTTCCAGATAAAAAGTAAAGGAACATTTAAAAAAGCAGTACATAAGAAAGAAAAAGTTAAATGATAAATATTCTTACATGCTCTTCAACGACAGCATGCACAATTGCCTCAGGTAATATCGGTCTACCAATGATTGTTTGCGACTTTGATCCCAGCATAAGAACCTTGTTCAAAATCAACTGCAGGATAGCTAGCTATGTAAATAATCCACAATATAGTAACTTCTCCAAAGTTAGTGTAGAAATAACCACAGGAATTTTCCAGTGCATGAGCATAATAATGCATCAATAAAATATAGATAAAGTGTTCAACAAGAAGCAAACAATTCAGGGAACACACCTAGACACAAAAAACAAAAATACGAAATATTGAGACCAGGAAGAACGTTAAAAGGTGAATAATAATATGAAAAATGAAACAATAAAAACAATCAATTCCATACTGTGCAAGTAAAAAATCAAAAGATGAAAATGCTAGCAGCAGACATCAAAAGATACATAGTCATAAACCAGATGCAACATTTCACAATTATAATTGTCAATACTAAGTATAATGGCAACATTACCTCGAAGGAGCAACTGAAGGAAAATACATATTGCAGATATTGCAAAAGGATTATAAACATTGCCACTCTAACGAATAGTTAAAAGTAAATGATCCTGAATACTCTAAAGTAACAACTAAGAATTATTAATCCTAAAACTGAATGTATACGACTTCAGGTATTAACAGCAAACACGAAGTCATGAATTTTTATAACATTATGTAATCTCCTATTTTGTTAAATATTTTGATTAATAAATTTCAGAAATTTTCAAGATAAAAAGACATTCATTCTGCTATCCTATTTGGAAAATATTTTGATTAATAAATTTCAGAAATTTTCAAGATAAAAAGACATTCATTCTGCTATCCTATTTGGAAAACTTGAAGGTGGATACCATTTATGTCATAAAGATAAAAAGACATTCATTCTGCTATCCTATTTGGAAAACTTGAAGGTGGATACCATTTATGTCATAGGTGAACCAAGTCACTTATTGATGCTGGTACAGAAAGAAAAGAAATGAGATGGTGATGGAGATATTGAACTTAAAAACATCTAAACGCAAGTGAAAATGACTATGGTGAGGTGTCTTTATTTTACTAATTCTTCTCACTTCTAAGTTTCATGTAGTTGGTCAATCAATTAATTATAAAAAAGGTTTTTTCCCCTAGAAACCACCCCTTTAAAATAGGGAACATAACCACCTTTAAAGGATTTTTTTTTGTTCCAACCAACCACCTGGGCCCACTTTTCAATTAAGTTTTTTCAGTAACTGACTTCATCTAACCTCCACTAAGGATCACATCTCTAATATATTTTGTAATTGATAACTAATCATTATGGCAGAATGAGAAAAAATACATAACTTAAAAGTGAGTCCAAGTGGTTGATTACAACAAAAACTCCATTGAAAGGTGGTTTGCGTATAAATTGACAACCAAATGTGGTTTCTGTAGAATGACCCTAGTTTCTAGGGGGAAAACTCTTATAAAAATATCAGTGTATTATAATATTACATGACTACACAACAGGTAAGGACATCATAAACTACAATATAACATGGTCTAAATATTTTTGCAATGTGCACATCAACAGGTATGAGTATGCAGTTTGCTAATGGGATAGAATTAAAGACATGAGCTAGAGGACACGACCTTGCTGATCTAGAATTTGGAACTAAGAAATCTATCAGCAAAAACAAAGATAATGAACTGAAAACCAATTAATTAGGCTATTAATTTGTGGAGAAGGTTGGCACTTGCAACATAATGAATATTAAGTGCAAATGCAAATTGAAACTTCCACACAAATATATTTAACAATATTATGTGGAACACAGTGATTGCAGGCCGGTAACATCTCTTGCCAATTTTAAATAGAGCAAACAACATGAGTAAATTCCATCCATAAGTGGGTTTCAACCCAGATTTGGCTACATGACAGCGTACTTTAAGATAAGTCGAACTGTCAAATAATTGGAAAAGAAAAAAGGACAGAATTAAGAGATAAGACGGGTATACAATACATTCTAGAAGAGAAAGTAGGAAAAAAGTTAAATTTGTCACTGATATCAGCTTAGGCATCTTTTAGTTTCACAAAACGAATTTAGGTGGGAAGTTTGACATAAGATGGGTATACAACATATTCTATGAATCTAGAAGAAAAATTAGAAAAAGAGTTAAGTGTTAAAGGAGCATCTTGGGAATTTTTTTAATTTCAGAAAGAAGCAATAAATCCAATAATTAATCTCTGAGAAGAAACAGATGGTAAGTAGTATTGACCTCCAATTCCTGCCCTACCTGTGTAATCAAACTAGTTCATCAAACCAAACAGTCATCTTGAACAGTTATGGGTATAGACATTGGACCATTCTATTAAATTACACTTCTCAACTGTCGTACAGTCATCTTGAACAGTTATGGGTATAGACATTGGACCATTCTATTAAATTACACTTCTCAACTGTCGTAATATGCTCTTTAAGAACAATGCAACAAGACATTGGACCATTCTATTAAATTACACTTCTCAACTGTCGTAATATGCTCTTTAAGAACAATGCAACAAGAGAAAAATAGAAGGATTGACATCTCAGACATTAAATGAGAAGCTCTGCAGCAAACAAGCTGAACGTAAACCAAGTCAAGTTTGCATAATGACACACGTTAGGGCATTTACAACAAGATTATTCTACTGAATTGGGACCTTGCATAAGAACACGAAAGTCTTATCCTTTGTACACAAGCAACCTCGACAAAAGTATGTGTCAGCGTGATGTGCGCTATAACTGAATGGTTTACAGTAGCAAACATTTATATCGTAATTTCATAACTAAACTTACAGTTTCCTGTTGCAATGTAGCCAAATTCCCCAGACTAACAATTTCACGTTACTGGTGAAAGTCGCATATACTGTAAAAATCAAAAGAACCCTAAAGTCTTCAATACGTAACACCTTACCTTGTCATTAACATCGCAAAACTTCAATCTTTCAGTGAAAATCGAATCCCCGTTACTAACTTTAAACTGGTGCGAACCAATCTACAATAAACACAAACAATACAGTCCCAAAGACAAAACCTTGTGAAGTTTTAAACCAAAAGAAAGTCAAAGTCACAGACCTGGACAACAGCAAAAACAGGCTCCCAAGGTTTAAACGGCCGCTCTGAAGGATCAAGTGGACAACAGCAAAAACAGGCTCCCAAGGTTTAAACGGCCGCTCTGAAGGATCAAGCGGCCCAATCACTCTGTACCCGATATCAGCAGCCTCGTTCGCTTTCTCCTCCTCAGATTTCCCACTCGCTCCAAATTTCTTCACCGATCCATTGCAGCTCTCATCGCCTTCATCATCATCATCTTCTTCTTCTTCTTCTTCGTATTCTCCGTCTTCTTCATTTTCGTCGTCTTCATCATCGTCTCCCGATGAACCCGAAGGTCGAGAAGAGAAATGGCGACATCGAGGAGGATCGATGGGTTGATGTTGATAAAGTGGGAGGATGGAGTTGGAGTGAGGGTTTTTGAGGGTTGAGAGATGAAGAGATCGAAGAGTTAGGGTTTGAGATTTGATGAGAGAAGGAGGAGGAGGAGGAGATGAGGAGAGGAGAGATCGGAAATAATGGGTTAGGGTTAGGGTTAGGCGTCGCTGCGACGCCATTGGGGGCGGCGATCAGAGGGGAAATGGAAGCGAGGGAAATGGAGATGGGGGCTCGGTGCTTAATGGGCCAGAAAAAAAACAAGAAGTAATGTTATCCGCAAACAAGAAAATAACGGATTTACCATTCCCGAGATCGCTCCCCTCAAAACTCCGCATAGAGACTTCTATGCATGAGAAAGATCCACCGTCCAATCCCTATCCAGACTTAAAAACAACATCCCAAAAATTCCCGCATAGAATTTCTACACGTTTGGGCGGGCCGTCCTATGTGTACTTTATATAAGGTACTCCGACAAGGAGCTGAGATCGGTAAGATTTTCGGTAATTTCATTCGATTTAATTTGTTTTATTGTCAAAATAATAAGAGAGGGGGTAGGGATCGGTGGATCTGCGCCGTCCGATCTTGAGAGGGAGGATGGCATCGACGGC